TACACTGAGCCACAACCACAGCCCTGGTTTTATTATTTTCATATTTTAAGTTACATACACAGAAGTGATGGTCTTAGAAAAACTCAGTGTTTCTCAATGAAATCACATTTGCCTTCAGGATGATGTTGTGATGCACACACTGTCGGTGAGAGAGAACTTATGGTTCTCAGCAGCTCTTCGGCTTCCAACAACTATGACAAAACAGGAAAAGAAGGAGAGGATCAACAACATCATTAAAGAGTTAGATCTGGAGAAAGTGGCAGATTCCAAGGTAATGTGTAAAATCTGATAGAGTCATAACCAGGAAAGAGGAGCTCAGAAGTTTCCTAATGTGTATGGTGTCAAAACTGGCTGCTTTCTATAGTGATGAGAAAGGTAACTAGTTACATAGTATGAAGAGGGAAATATGTGGGGAACAATATTAACTGTGGTCTAGTCCTGAAGAAGGAGTAGGTCTATGTGGAGAGAGCCCCTCACATGGCCATTTCCATGGTCCTCCAGCCTCCATTGTTCAAGACACAGGTTGTTTGATGTCTTTGCACTGACTTTTCTTATTCTTTTTTTTCCTCTTTTAGCTGCTCTTCTCCAACTCTTCCTCCAGGAAATATTGTTGCATGTTTTTTGAGGTATACTTCTGGATTTCATAAATGAAAAGAATCCAAGTATTCTTTTTTTAATTGTTTTTTTAGTTATATGTAACACTGGATTCATTTTGACATAAGTATAAAAGCAGAAAATATAATTTGTTCTGGTTCATTCCCAGGTACTTCCCTTTTCTTCCCCTCACTCTCTCTTCTGTTCCTATTCCTCTACTCTACTGATCTATTTACTTACAGTATTTTTAACATTATTTCTTTGTGTGTGTGTGTGTATAAATATATATATATGATGGTTCTGAGTGTGTGTATATATATATATATATATATATATCAAATGCTGAGAATCAAAATCCAGCTGTAGTATATTCATATATGTACATAAAAATATAGAGAGCTTTGTAATGTTGTAAACAACCAATAAAAAAAAATATTTGGTCAGATTCATTCCATTGCCTTTCCTTATCTAATTTTCCCTCCCTTCACTTCATTCCACTTTGTCCACTCCACTGAATTTTTCTATATTTTTATCCCCTCACCCTTTATTCTGAATTAGCTTCCACATATCAGAGAAAGTAATCAACCCTTGTCTTTTTGGTGGTTGGCTTGTTTCACGTAGCACAATATTCTCCAGCTCCATCTATTTACTGTCAAATGACACAAAATTGTTCTCTTTACAGCTGAGAAATACTCCATTATATATATATATATATAATGGATTTTTACCGCTATACATAAAGTAAATATATATATTCCATTTTTTCTTTACCCATTAGTTGTTAAAGGGTATTAGTTATTTCCAGGTATTAGCAATTTTGTCTTTTAGGTTTCCCCTGTTTCTGTCTGGGCAAGAGCCTGGGCTTATAGTTTCATTCCATAACTTGTGAATCATCTGCTATAAACATTGCTGTGCATCACAGTAATATGCGAATTTTAATTTTTTCAATATATAACAAAGAGTGAGACAACTGATATATGGTAGTTCTATTCTTAGTTTTTTTGAGAAATCTCCATACTCCAGAGTGGTTGAACTAATTTGGAGTTCCACCAACAATGTATGAGCACACCTTTTTCCCCATATCATTGCCAACATTTATTGTTATGTTTGTTCTTGATAATCACCTTTCTGACTAGAATGAGATGAAATCTCTGTGTAGTTTTAATATGCTTTTCCCTAATTGCTACAGATATTGAACATTTTTTTCATGTATTATTTCTTTTGAGAAGTGTCTATTTAATTCTTTTGTCCATTTAATGATTGGTTGATTTGTTTATTTGGTGTTAAGTTTTTGGGGGGTTATTTGTATTTTCTGGAAATTAATGCCCTATCTGAGAAGTAGGTAAGAAATGTTTTCTCCCTTTCTGAGGCTCTCTCTTCAAATTCTTAGTTCTTGGCTGTTCAGAAACTTTTAAATCTGATGCCATCCCACTTATTGATTTTGAGTTTATTTCTTGTGCTCTAGGAGTCTTAATAAGAAAGAGGTTTTCTGTGCCAATATGTTGGATTGTTGGACCAACATTTTCTTCTAGCAAGTGAAGGGGTTCTAATCTAACACGTAGGTCTTTGATCCACTTTGAATTGAGATATGTGCAGGGCAAGAGGTAGGATCTAAATTTAATTCTACTCCTTATGGACTTTCAGTCTTCTTGGTGCCATTTGTTGAAGATATTGTCTTTTTTCCAATATATGTTTATGGCGTCTTTTTCTAGTATAGGATAACTGTATTTCTGTGGCTTTGTCTGTGTCTCTCCTATTCCATTGGTCTTCATATCTGTTTTTGTTGGAAGCCATTTATAAATTATGATAAATTTTGTGTTTGTTTGGGCCAGTGTAAGGCAGGGAAGCTGCTTTTCTGGGAACTCCTGGGTGAAATTCCTTGGTTGGAGAAAGCCAAGATCATGCTGGTGCCCTGCCTTAGCTCACAGCCATAGAATCACACACAGCCCTCAGGAGGTGGGCGTAACCACTTAAGCACTAAACAACCTGTTTTCCCCCAAAACTTATCCTGTTTTTCCTGATGAAATTACTTACTATGCCCTTTGGTCTTTACCGCTATACATAAAGTAAGCATAGGTTTTTCTCTTTATTAGGGTAAGACCCCATCAGGTGTGTTCCACTCATCACAGCCACACTATGAAAATATATATAATTCTTACCTTTTGTTTTTATTTCTTTAATATTACTTTCCTAGCTTTTATTTCCAGTTGGTCCACACCTCTCATAGTTACCCACTCCCTCCCCATGCAGGTTGTGAGTGAGATGTTTTGGTGCATGTAACATGCTGTTTTAGTTACTATAGCTCTGAAGTATTATTTAAGGTCCAATATTGTGATCCCTCCTGCTTTGCTTTTCTCTCTCAGGATTTCTTGGGCTATTCTAGGTCTCTTATTTTTCCAAATGAATTTTATAACTGCCTTTTATAATTCTTTGAAGAGTGTCAGTGAAATTTTGATGAGAATTTCAGTGAATCTGAACAGTGCTTTTGGTAGAATGGCCATTTTGATAATATTAGTTTTGCTTATCCAAGAATATGGAAGGTCTTTCCATTTTCTTTTTTTTTTTTTGACATATCATACCTTTGAATCAAATGGGGTATAATTTCTCATTTTTCTGAGATCTTCAATTTCTCTCTTTAGTGTTCTGTAGTTTTCATTGTAGAGGTCCTTTTGTCTCATTTTTTCAGATTGATTTTTAAAGCTATTGTGAATGGGTTGTTTTCCTAATTGCTTTTTTAGCCAATTTATCATTGGATTATAGGAATATGGTTAATTCATGGATGCTGATTTGTTTCCTGCTATTTTGCTGAATTCATATATGAGCTCTTGAAGTCTTCCACTAGAGTTATTTGGGTCTTCTAAATATAGGATTATGACATCATTAAACAGAGATAATTTGAACTCTTCTTTCATATTTGCATGTCTTCAATTTCCTTCTCTTGCCTGATTGCTCTGATTTGAATTTCAAGGTCTATGTTGAATAGGAGTGGGGAAACAGGGCATGTTTTGTTTCTGTTTATAGAGGAAATGCTTTCAGATTCTCTACATTTAATATAACGTTGCCTTAGGTTGGTCCCATATAACTACAGATAGAAAAAATTTATCTCAACATTGTAAAAGCTATATGTCAATATCTTTAAGATTTTATAGTTAATTGGAGTAGAAATTTTCAAAATAGTTTCTGATGATTCTATGGATTCAGTAGCATATAGGTTGATATTTCCTTTTTCATCTCAAATCTTATTTGCATTTTTCCCCTTTTAATTTAGTTAGTTTAGCTAAACATTTATCTTTTCCAAAACCAACTCTGTTTCATTAATCTTTTGAAAATTTTTGAATTCGCAATTTTACTGGTTTCTGCTCTCACTTTAATTATGTCCCATCGTCTAATGATTTTGGCATTGGTTTGTTGGTTCTTGTTTTCCTAGGGGCTTGAGATGTAATTTTAGATTATTTATTTGTTACCTTTCTATTCTGTTAATGTGTTAGCTCAATGCTATGAACATTCCTTTTAGAGCTGTCTTCATACCTTCACAGAGAATTTGATGTATTTTATCACTCTTCTCATTTACTTCTCAAATTTTTAATTTTTCCCCTGAGTTATTCTTCTACCCATTCATCTTCAAAAGTGGTTTTTTTATCTGCTGGTGTTAGAGTGGTTTCTGCTTTTTACCTTATTTTTATTTCCAATTAATTCTGTTGTGTTATAGTAGAATTCAAAATATTATCTCTATTTTATTGTATTTGCAAAGATTTGGTTTGTGACTGAAAAGGTGGTCTGTTTCAGAAAATTTCCCATGTGCTCTAGTGAGGAAAGTGAATTCAGTCATTGATGGATAAAATATTCTGTTAATGTCTTGTAGGTTCATGTATTAATGGTATTTTTCAGTTCTCTACAGAACTAGAATCTTTACTTA